CATTTAGGAAATATGAAAGTGTCGGCCTTTTTTTTTCTTTAACTTAATGGAAACTATTGTTTTTATGTTCTGTCATTTTTTGGTTAATAAATATTTTTTTTAAACCATTTAACATTTGTTTCTATTTCTTGTTTTTTAATTACTTACTTTTCCTATTCTTGAATNGTTTATGTTTTGTTATTTTTCTTGTTTTTGTTAATCAATGGTAAACACATGTCACGATCCGGTTATGAGATTTATATTGACATGTGTCACAATCTAATCAATGGTAAACACATGTCACGATCCGGTGAGTTACAATTTTGACACGTGTCAAGCTCTCATCGCGCGCATTCTACTTTATATAATAAGATGAGAAATATCTTCTTTCATAACAAACTTTCTCTCTCTAGTTTGATCTTCATTTCTCATCGCTAATAGTTTTCAAGCTGTCTTATGATCATCGCGCAAATAATATATGTGGAAAACTAATAGCATTAGTAACAATGCGTTGAATGCATAGTACATCAATGTGCCTTTAAATGATTTCATATCCAAATATCCCAGTAGTTCAGAGCTGAACAAAAAGGGTAAATGTTATATACACGAAATCGAGAAATAGTTAAAAGAGTTCCAAAACCCAAGAAATAGCAAATAATCCAAAACAGACACTTGCTCCCAGTTCTTTTCCCGAGTACTTGAAAATTTTAGCAGATTCCATAAACACGTCATGAACGGCGAGGATGATTGATCCAATTCGGAAAAATCTGCATATGAAAATAAAATCAGTTGCTTTGTAGTCTTTACAACTTTTAAAGCACTAACACTGATATTTCTATAGCCATAACTTTTTAAACTTCCTAGTTAATTCGAAACAAACAACAAGAAAGCAAATCAATTAAAGATCTAGGTGTTATATGTGCAACTTAAGTTAAAAATATCTCACTCTTTACAAGAGTTTTCTCGATTTACAAATGAATGAAACTAAATGCAAATAGTGATTACCCTACTAAGTATGAGGATTCAATGAGGATGATAGTAATTATGTGATGAGATATCATAACAGCGAAATCCTTTCTTCTCGTCTCCCACGCAAGCAATGCAGCAACACCGTAAACATAGAACCCGCATTGGCACATATAGAAAAGCTTTAGAGAAGACCTACAAATAAAATCAGTCATGAGCTAAGAAACCATTCACTGTTCCAATCCAATCGTATGTTCTGCCAAAACCTTCTAAACCGGCAAGGACTCAAAGGCAATCACATTGTAATCAAAGCCAATATCTCTCCGAAGAACAACGAATGAAAAAATGAGATGCGAATCGATTACTTACTTAAGCTCTTGATTTGGCCATTGGTCAAAGTATAGTTTTATATCTCCAAACCAGCATAATACAACAATTTCCACAATGACTCTTTGCATTTGATGATTTTCACACGAGTCGCATCATCATCGTTCAGTTTCAATGGAGAAGAACCTGTACTCAAAAGCCATAGAGCTATCCTCTGGAAGATTTCA